AAAGACAAAAAAAAACCCCAACCCCACAAAAAACCCCAAAACCCCCCCCCCCAAAAAAAAAAACCAACAACCAACCAACCAAACCAACCCCACACTTTAGTGGAAACTTGTCAGAGAATGCTCCTAAAGTCTGGTTTTCTGCTGCTGCTGGTGATCAGTGCGTCTGCGTCCTATGAAGCTGAACAGAATGACTCTGTGAGCCCCAGGAAACCCAGGGTGGCAGCCCAGAACTCAGGTAACACCCAGCAGGGAGGGCTGGGAGCCTCAGCCCTGATGTGTTGAACTCTTGCAGATCTCTCTACTGCTCATTTTCCTTTTTCTTTTTAAGATCTTTTTCCTCCCTTCCCCCCCCCTTTCCCCCCTTTCTTTATTCCCCCCTTCTATTTTTCCCCTTCTTTTTTCTCCTTCTATTTTTCCCCTTCTATTTTTCTCCTTCTTTTTTCTCCTTCTATTTTTTCCCCTTCTTTTTTCCCCTTCTATTTTTCCCCTTCTTTTTTCCCCTTCTTTTTTCCCCTTCCATTTTCCCCCTTCTATTTTTCCCACTTCTTCTTTTCCCTTCTATTTCTTTTCCCTTCCTTTATTTCCCCTTTTTCCCCCCCTTATATATATTTTTCTTCCTTTTTTTTTATTTTTGGTGGCTTCTAAACTGAACTACTGCTAGGAACAAATATGAATCTAAGGGTTGGATTCAGGGAATTTGGTGCAGAGCTGGAGAAGAAATCTCCTCCTCTCAGGAGCTGGGGCAGGGAAGTGGTGTATGATCTGCTTGCAGGATGCAAATCCATTCTCTCCCCACCTCCCCCATCTACTAAATGAGTTCTGTGGACTTTTCTTCTCTCTCTCTCCCCTCCTTGCATGTGTCTTTCCCTCTCCTCCAGTTGCAATCAGCCTTTGGTGTTGAATTCCTTGCTTTTTAGGAAGTTGATCAAACCCGTGGCAGTTGGACGGAACCTTCGTGCTGCCAAACATCTGTCAGGGAGCTGGGACTTTGAAGAATGCAGGGACCCAGAAACTGCCCAATTCTCAGCCTTGATTTGCAAAAAAACTTGATTGCTAGCAGTTAGATGATACCACAGGAAAAATACAGTTGTGGCATTTAGCAAACTTGCTTTTACAATGGGCAGAGAGGGGAAAAAAAAGGCTTGGCAAGTCAGCTCTGGATGTCTCTACTTTGTGCACTGGAGATGCTGAGATAAGTTGGACACATTGTCTTGAACAATGGGAATTAAAAAATCTGTCTTCTAGGACACTGAAAAGATACTAGCTCTCTAATTTGGGGCTCATTAACAGCTGTCTTATTTTAGATCTGCAAGGCTCTGCAGCATTATAGCAGGGTGTTTGCTCAATTTCCTTTTGTATTTGGTTGCTATAGAAACATAGGGTCTCACTCTTGCACGGTGCCTAAAACAATAAAAGCTTCATGCAGGCAAAGTCTGAGAGCAAAGTTCTCATTGGAACCTGTGGAAACATCACCATGGGCATGACTTGTGTGATGGGGAGGTTATGAACTGGGGAGAGGATGATCTTACCAAAATATCTCTCCCTTCAGGCACGTCAGCAAGAGTGGAGAATAAGGAGGGGTTTGTGGGGTGATTTTTTTTGAATGTCATCTATTTTTCCCCCCCTCCTCTTTTCTGTGAAGATCCTGCTTAGAGAGAGAATGTCTTTAGGCTACAACTTAGCTCTGCAAAAGGTGTGTGCTCTCCTCCACCAAATGCAAATCCTCACTTTTCCCACACCTAGGACCCTGAGCTGGGTTTGCATTTCTTCCCAAAGAATGTCTGGTAACATGAGCTGCACGAGTCATGAATATGCCTTGCACAGACACAGAAAGGGGACAGATGTTCAGCTTCCCAAAAAAGGTTAATCCCTCCTAATTTCAGGGCAATCATGTGGCAATACTGCTGATTCATGGTTAAAATGCACAGTGTCTGCACTCCAAAAGGCAGGATGACATGGATACCCCTCCTGTTCAGACTAACTCCTGCCTCAGTGATTTGAATTATACATGCTCAGCTCCATTACCTTAACTTTCTCTGCCCAAATGTCCCTTTTCTTTGGGAATCTTCAGCACTGGGACCTTTCTTGGCTCTGCCTGGTACCAGCTCAGTGCTCCATGGTGCTGCTGATGGACACCCAAACTCAAGTGGTATTGCTGGCTACTTCATGCTTTTTAGACAAGCCCAAATAGCTCCAAAGGGAGCAAAAACCTCCCTTGCAGCAAGGGCAGATTTCAGACCAGCTTGTTTGGCAGTTGCCATCACTTCAGACTCATTTTCAGGGGAGGTTTGTGAGCTCTGACCTCCCCTCCACTCTGGAGAAGACCTCCCCACCCAGTGCTCTTCATGGGCCCCTCCTCATCACTTCTGCCTTCTTGAGAGGAGCTCAGAAGGCAGCTGTGACTCCAGGCAGTCAGAGTTAGGTTGGGATGGACCTGTCAGTCTTCCATCTACCCAAAAGCTGTTGCCTCTTTTAATCTGGAGTTCACCAAGTGAGGGGTTCTTGGTATTTTCTCTTCCTTGATTTGCTGGTGATGCATTGTATGACTCCATCACTTCCTCTCCCTCTTCCCTCTCCCTCTT